AGAAGCTGCACTGCAATCACAGAGGTATGCAGTTCTAATTCATCTGATGCTCAGCTGGAGAAGGAGGGGCAATCTCCTCCTGTACCTGTCAGATCTGATTTGACGGTACACACACACACAAAATAATAATACTAATAAAAACAAAACAATAACATACTATGACAGGTTTGGAAGTAGGAGTGGCAACCACTTCCTAAATAACATGCCTCTGGAAACCCTGTGAACTTTGATAAATGTCGATAGTTGTAGAGGGGCTTCAGGCCTTTTGTTCATAGGGTTGCTGTGAGTCGTTTTCAACTCGAAAGCAAACAACAACATATTGGTACAGTTTATAGATGGTTGTACTAATAATCCAGAGGCTGTGCATTGGTGGTTTGAATCCACCAGCTGCTCCTTTGGGAAGAGGATGGGCTGTCTCCTTCCATGCTGTTTATAACCTTAAAAACCTAATGGAGAACAAAGTTTGAGTTGGTTGTGGCTCACCACACTGAATGAGAAAGAGGATTTTGGGATTGCAGCACAGCTTCTTACCCCTAGGCCACCAAAGTTCTGTGAGAAAGAATTTTTACTCTGTTATCTTCCAAGATCAATACAGGGTTTATTACTATTAATTATGAATTAATTCTAATATTAATTGATATTAAGTTTTAGCTTTAACATTAGGACTTTGACCAGTTTTGAGTTCTTTTTTATTCATGGTGTACAGTACATTTATTAATATTTGTTTAAATGACAAAACAAGCTATAGAACACATGTTGGTAGAAAAGAATCATGCCCTCTTTTTTTTTTTTTTTTTACAAATTAACTCACAGTATAACCACGAACTCACAGAAAGAGACTTTTTAAAGAAAACTAGCATATTGCTGTCACTTGAATGTAATTATCTTTTAGTAAGAACTTTAACAAAAGGAATCTTGTTAGAGTAAACATCACAGGTTTTATGTGTTAAATTTTTTATCGTATTTCTGTTTACTGTATAGCTTATTGAATTTGAAATCAATTGAAAATGTTATTTTTTCAAGTGACTTTGATATAAATAGATTTTATATTATTGTTTCTTACATCATTTGTACTTTTCCCCAAAGGTGAACGAAGAATTCGTGTACATACTTTATGTTTGCCAGTCGTTTCAACTTTGAATGAAGTCTTTCTTGGAGCTGACGTTCAAGCAATTTCAGGTTTATTGGCTAATATGGGTAAGAATTATCATTATGTTGGAAATACTTTATAGAGCCGTATCATTTTCCTTTAAATAATTAGCTTTAGTGCTCACTTTGGCAGCACATATACTGAAAATAGAACGATAAAGAGAAGATTAGCATAACCCCTATGCAAGGAAGACACACAAATTCATGAAGTGTTCCATATTTTAAAAATTCACATTTAAAAATAAATAAATAAATGGCTTTGAAGTTTAATGATTTGGAGACCATGAGGCCTTTAAAGAATTATTGACAGGAAAAGGTTTTTTTGTAGGTGGTAGTTAGCATTATTGTTCTCTGTGATAAAAAAAGAATTTGGTTTTCCTTGTGTGTGTAACTGCCTGAGATCAATTTTATTTCTTAAGTAAAAACAATCTTCAGTTTTGTTTCAGTAGCTTCTTTGGGGTATAATTTATATATTGTTACAATTCAATCATTTTAAGTGTACAGTTCTGTTGGTCATAGTATATTTTCAGAGATATGCAGCCATCACCACAGAGCCATTTTACAGCATTTCCAACACCCCACAAAGAAACCTCATTCTGTGTAAATGCCCAGCACACCATCCCCACCCTCCCTCACTGGCCTTAACTAATCATTAAAGTATATTATCTGTCTCTGCAGATTTCTCTATTTTGGACTTAAGTAGCTTTTTCATACTTCGTGTTTAAATGCAAGTGCTTAATACTTTAAAAAGTGGGAGAAAGAAAAAAATTTACAAAGGGGGAGAAAGGAGGAAGAAAATGTGCAACAATGGGAAAAAATTAAAGCATTTTCTATGTTAATAACAAACTTTAAAAATTTATTAATATGGAGGATAGGCTTATAAGAGATAGCAGTATACTCTAAAGATCATTAGACTTAAAGGCATGGAATTTGGAATTGAATACCAGTTTACCACCAAACAGATTTTTTTTTTAGTGACCATTTTAATCATTGGGCGAATGAGAGCCGCATTGGGTACAACCTGCACTGCGCAGGGAAAAGACCCACAACTCCACCCACGTTTGTAGGGAAGGGCCCACCAAACAGATTTTTAGCTTTGGCCAAATCTTTCAGGCTAGAATGTGGTGGATCATAATCAGTAGTATCTTAGATTCAGTGAAATACAGCTTTCCCATTTAACAAATAAGAAACTGAAGCACAGAAAGCTTGTTCTTTGCCCAGCTGTCATACAGCTAGGAAGTAGCAGAGTGGCATTTCAACAGAGGTTAGTTTGATTTTCCAAAGCATATACTGTAAATTACTGTTTTGACACCTTATGTATGTAATCAATTGGAAAGAGACTTTGGTATTTTAAATTATCTTTTCCATTCCTTACCAGTGGTGCTGCTAAGGCTTTCTCTTGTTTCTTTTTGTGATTAGCTGTCGACAGGTCTGTCTCTGCCAGCCTGAGTGATGCTCGTGATGCCCTAGTGAATGCTGTGATAGACTCTCTTTCTGCTTATCGTTCTTCAGTCCTAAGTAACCAACATCCTGGACTCATGGTTCCTTTTTCTTTGCGACTTTTCCCACTCTTTGTGTTAGCCCTCCTTAAGCAGGTAAGACAAGAGAAAAGAAAGGAGGGGGGGAACACCAAAAAGTAGCATGAGAAAAATGTCTAATCTCAAATGTTTTATCATTTGAAATGCTAAATAAACATTGTGTCTGTGACTTTATGCCAGTTACATTTTCTGAAGATAGGGACCTCAGCTCTATTTTAATTAGATTTGTGACCAAACAGTCAGTTTAACATGCCTTGTTCACAAGATATGGTTACTAAGAAAATGTTTATGTTTAGTAATGTTTATCTAAGATTCAGAAACTTCATCTTACTTGTATTCACAGTCAACACCATTGGTACCAGAAGTCAGGACGTCTTGAAATGTATTGCACTGGGAAAGTCTGCTGTCAGGGACTTTCATTTCTAAAGACAGCTTAGCTATCTTTGCTTCCTAGGAGCAGTTGGACCACACTTTTTCCAAGTCATACATGTTCTTTTGTCAGTCCATGGGATATTCAGTGCTCTTTTCCAACACCACAATTCAAAGGCATCACTACTTCTGTCATTGTATTCACTGTCCAGGTCAGATGCATAACAAGTGATTGAAAAGACCAGGGCCTGAATCAGCCACACCTTAGTCTTTAAACTGACATCATTACTCCTCAGTAATTTGGAGAGATCCTTAACAGTGTACTTTTTCAATGCAATACATCTCCTCATCTGTGCCTGCTGGTATGAACGGTGCTAATTGAGGATCCAAGTAAGATGAAATTGTTGACAATTTTAATCTTTTTCTGTCTATCATGATAATTGTTTATTGGTCCAGTTGTGAGGATTTTTGTCTTCTTTTTTTTTCCATCAAGAAATAGATCTTGCCTTCTTTCATTTCCCATAGGAGTCTTTTCTTTCTTAATGACAATCCATGTAACATTTTCAAAACTCCTAAGAGCTTTCTCTAACTAACCTTCCTTTCTCTGTAGTTAGTGTACTTGCTTAAAGCACACTTCTGTTGTGCTTACCTCTTTTTACTTTTCCATCAGTTTAAATGTTTAAAATCTTATCTCAAAACTTTATAATTCTCCATAAAAATAATATACCAGTTAAATCTTGCGATTACTTATTCTGCTAGTCCATTTGTCTAATAAGTAGTTGTCATATTTTTGTTGTTGTTGTGGTGTTGTGTTTTTTTAATTGGTGATGGGTAATTTTTGTTGTATTGTTTAATTTCTCTGTGAGAGAAGCACCACTCACCATCATGCAATATTTATTTTTTTTAGTCCTTCATACATGCTTACATCATTATCTACAGTATAACTTGAGCCTTGATATTACTTAAATTGTTACATCACTACTCCAAACTGATAGCTAGGATGTTTAGATATATTTTATTTATTAGAAAACCAGAGTGATCAGTTAGCTCTGCTATGGCCACAATTTAATAGATGTAATAGTTTTCAAAGCACAATTAATAGTAAATATGCTAAACTTTATCTGAAGATATTCTTGCAACAACTGGCAGTTAGAAAGTTCTTTACTTATTTTTAAAATATATTTTCTCTCTTGGGTGGGGGGGATTGTTTTGTGTTACAGAAATCATTCCAGACTGGGACAAATGCTCGCCTCGATGAACGAATTTTTGCTATGTGTCAAGTAAAAAATCAACCCTTGGTTTACCTTATGCTAACAACTCATCCCAATTTGTATAGAGTTGACAATCTCTCAGATGAGGTAAGAGTAATTGCTCTTTTAAATTACTTCTGTTTAAATGTTTATAGCCTAATTATATTGACTCAAGTGCAGAAGTGAGAGTGTGTATGATTGTTATTTAAACCTTTATATTTTATTCCCTTATGAAGTCTGAGTGAGAGTTTCTGGTTTAATGAAGCACTTGAAAATAGTACTTTTCATTCATTTATATTTTCTAAGACATCTCTAGAACTTGTCTATGTAAATGAAGAGATTTACAAATTGGCTGGAATACCTAATTAATTATTTCTTTATTAAAACATTCTACTTTAGTGGACTCCACAGAATTTTCAGTATTAACATCTTGGTCATCTGGGAGTTATATTTTTCTTATTTATTTACAAAATTTGAATACATTGTTTTCACCAGGGAGTTCTGATGGCCCAGTGAGTAAGGAGCTACAATGCCAATCCAAAGACAGGCAGTTCAATACCATTGGCTGCTCCAAGAGAGAAAACTGGGCAGTCTCTTCGTGCAGTTTAACATCTCTGAAAACTCGCTGGAGGGTCATCCTGTGGGTTGGTTCTAATTGTAGGGCAATGAGTTTGAGTTGATGGTCATAAAACATCAACATCACCAATCTAAACACTATGTCTGCATTTCATTTTCTCTCTTGGGTAATGTAAATATAGTGTGGCTGGTGTGCTTGCTGCTGAGTCTAACTTCCACTAACTTCACAAAGAGGAAGAATCCCATCTATAGCATCAGCAGCACAAAGTTTATTCCTATGAGGCTAGACATGCTTCCATGTTCTCACACATTCTGCTATGAGTTCTGACACCAGCTACACCTCCCAGGGCTTTTTCTGCTCTGCTATAAGGTTTACTGATCCAATGGAATGGCCACACAGAGCTCATAGCCCATATTCATGATTATGAAGTTTACTAGGGAATGTAACAGATTGTAATTCAAGTTGGAAACATGTTAGAATTCTTCAGTAAGGACAGCTTCTAAATATGTGCTCTTGGAATCTCTGACTGTTAGCCTCATTGGACCCTGCCTTGCCTCTCTGGGCCAGTGTTATAAAACTTTTAGTACTGCCATTTATGACAACTACCCACATAAACACACACACCATCGCTCCAGCATTTAGCAAAGGTGAAAGCTCTTAGCTCTGGTTCTGTGGGACAGCAGTTTCTAGTTCAGCTCTAGTTCACATTGATCTCTTGATTCTCTGATGCTGCTGCTGATACTGTTGAGAAGAAACCTCTGGATCAAAATAATTTGCTGCACTCTGCTTCTTTCTTTATTTGTCAAGACAGTGTGTTTTTATTGTCTGCATTTTCCTGCTTCTTTCTTCATGGTAGCTAGATTCTCCTTTTCTACCTCTGAACCAGTTCGATTTACGCCTGTCAGAATGGCAAAACTGTCCAATCCTCATGTTCGTAGTCTACACATCTTATGTGCATGGTCCCACCCAAAAGGTAATATTTACATTATTATCATTATTTCCTTTATGCACTTGGGTGGCTTAGTGATAAGGACTTATGCTCCAAACCCAAAGGCAGGCAGTTTGAATCAACCAGCTGCTTCGCAAAAGAAAGACAAGCAGCCTCCTCCAGCATGATCTGAACCCGCTGGAGGGTCAGCTATGAGTTGATTCCAACTTGATGGCACATAACAGTGTAACACATTATTGGCAAACAAGAGAAGTCTCCAATCCCCTTGGTGGGACCACAAACATACTTCAGATGTGAATAGTCCTACTGAATCATGTGTTAGAAGTCAAATATGGCTAGAGCCTTACTGCACAGTCTACTATACCACCATAGATAAGGCTTAAATAAGTGACGTTTTTGTTATGTGCCGTCAAGTGGCTTGCAACTCACAGCGACCCTATGTACAACAGCCCTAAACTCCGCTCTGTCCTGTGCCAATCGCACTGTCTCTGACACACCCATCCCAATTATCCCAGTCACTGAATCAATCCACCTCATAGAGGGCCTTCCCCTCCTGCGCTGTCCCTCCACCCTCCCAAGCATGATATCCCTCTCCAAGGACCAGTCCCTCCTTGCAACATGTCCAAAGTATGTTAGATGAAGCCTCAGAATCCTTGCCTCCAAGGAGCCACTTAACTAAGTGCATAATTTAAATATCTGGTTTCAGAAATGTAGTAATGGGCATAGTTTAAGAAGTTTTAAATCTGAAATAAATATTTCAGTGAATTTTTTCTATGTATTTTTAAGTAGCAATGTTAAAGTCCTTATAAATGAGAATTTTCTGTTTCCAGATTTTGAGACTTTTCTGTTTCCAGATTTAATTTCTTAATTGATAAATACTACTAAAATCTCATTTGTATTAGGTTTTTCCCCCATCCCTCAGGATGTGCATATGACTCAAACCAAGCAAAGTATTATGATTTAGGTTTACAAAGCAGACTTGTTCTGCAAATTTTTCTTGTCCATTTTACTATTCATACATATATGATTTTATTACACAGATTACAGTTTCCATATTGTGTCATCATCTGTCACATCAGCTCACTGTGGTTCCTAGTTTCATTGATCCCTCCATCTTCTCCCATCCTACCTTCTAAGTCTTATCCCTGTACAGATGCTACCTTTGTGAGCCTGTGAGATTGAGTCTTGACTGCTGAATATCTCCCTGGTGTTATGCTTCAAGGTATAGACCTATCTACTGTTTGCCTGAAAGTTGTGCTGAAGCAGTGAGTTTAATTTCAGGCTCAGTGGTGGCAAGGGCCACACTTTCAGGGGTTCCACCAGTTACTATCAGGCCAGTAAGCCTGGCCTTTGCTGTTATTTTGAATTTTGTCCTGCATTTGCTTTCAGAGTGGATGACAGTGGTACCTGGGCACCCTCTAGTTCTGTTCTCAGCTTGTGGAATTTGAAGATCAAAAGGTCTACTAGTGCTGTGGATTCATTGTTTCTGAGCATCTTGGATTTCCTTTATTCTTTTTTGCTCCACACAGGGAGAGACCAATGGTTGCATCTTAGATGGCCACACAAATATTTTGAAATAATTTAGATTCTAAAAAAACCTGAAAACCCGGCACACTGAAGCCCGTGCGTCGGGGTGAGACCCTGTACCCCCTGTCTGTAAACCCAGACGCTCCTCTATCGTTTGGGTCAGGCAAAAGCTATGGTGTTTACATGCCGGAGATCCGCCTCCTTCATATCTGTATACTGCAGCAGCCAGGATTCAACCCACTTTGCAGAAAACCTCCTCAAGGCGGACACTTACCGGAAGTGGTGGGCAGCCAAGGCAGGCGAGAAAGACCATCTCTGTGGACCTGCAGCTGGAGAAGGAGCAACAGATACACAGCGTGGACATTGGCAACGACAGTTCGGCCTTCGTAGAAGTGCTGGTGGGCAGCTCGGCCAGCAGGGGAGGTGAGCAGGACTACGAGGTCCTTCTGGTCACCTCCTCTTTCTTTTTTTTTTACCTCCTCTTTCATGTCGCCTTCTGAGAGCCGAAGTAACTCAAACCCCAACCGTGTTCGCATTTTTGGGCCAGACAAGTTGGTGAGGGCAGCAGCTGAGAAGCTCTGGGACCGGTTCAAAATTGTATGCAGCCAGCCCTACAGCAAGGACTCCCCCTTATGGCCTGAGCTTTGTTCGGTTCCACAGCCCCCCAGACAAAGATGAGGCAGAGACCTCAACTCAGAAGGTGACCAAGCTTGGCCAGTTCCAGATGAAGGAGGAGGACGAGGGTGGCAGCTCCCTGAGACCAGGAGCTCTCTTCTTCAGCCGAGTTAACAAGACACCCCCAGCTACAGCCAGTGACCAGGCAGGACCCAGCTACGTGGCTGCTATGCTCCAGGCTTCTGGCGCTGCCTTCTCAGTCTCCATGGCCTCCCAGGCTGTAGGTAGTACCACCAAGCCTCAGGAATCCCCAAGGAGAAGAGGAAGTTGGATTTGAACCAAGAGGAATGGAAGACCCCCAGCAAACTGTCCACCCAGCCCTCACCACCAGCCTCCAAGAGACCCAGATTGCCCCCTCCCTCCTGTAGCCCAGCCTTGGCCTCATCTCCTGCTCCAGCACGTGGTCTAGTGGCAGGGAAGCCCCGGAGAGAAGGCACTGAGCCCAAGAAACCCCAAACTGGTCCTCAGGAGCTGGGCAAGATCCTTCAGGGTGTGGTGGTGCTGCTGAGTGGCTTCCAAAACCCCTTCCGCTCAGAGCTCTGGGACAAGGCCCTGGAGCTGGGGGCCAAGTACCGGCCAGACTGGACCCCGGACAGCACCCACCTCATCTGTGCCTTTGCCAACACCCCCAAGTACAGCCAGGTCCTGGGCCTTGGTGGCCGGATTGTGCGTAAAGAACGAGTGCTGGACTGGACTGTCACCGCATGTGCCGGCGGCTGCCCTCCCAGAGGTACCTCATGGCGGGGCCAGGCTCGACCAGTGAGGATGAGGGGGATTCTCACATTGGTGACGACAGCGGGGATGAAGAAGCCCCCAAGCTTCCTCGTATGCGTCCCCAGGCCAAAACTAAGTCCCCTCAGACAACAGGACATAGCTCACCACAGAGGTCCCCATCCCCTGAAGAGACCAAGCCACCCACACCAGGGGGCCAGGAAGAAGATGAAACTGAGGGGGAACAGTCAGGACAGGACAATGGGGCGGACGATTCTGGGGACACAGAGGATGAGCTGAAGAGGGTAGCTGAACAGAGGGAACGGAAGCAGCCCCCTGCCCAGGAGGAGAATGGGGAGGACCCCTACGCTGGCTCCGCGGATGAGAACACAGACGAGGAATCCCCAGAGTCTCCCACCCTGCCGATCCCTGAACTCCCAGATTTCTTCCAGGGCAAACACTTCTTTCTGTATGGAGAGTTCCCTGGGGATGAGCGGCGGATGCTTGTTCAATACTTCACAGCCTTCAACGGGGAGCTGGAGTACTATATGAGTGACCAGGTCCAGTTTGTGATCACGGCACAGGAGTGGGACCCCAGCTTCAAGGACGCCCTGATGGACAACCCCTCCTTGGCTTTTGTCTGCCCCCGCTAGATCTACAATTGCAATGAGAAGCAGAAGTTACTCCCCCACCAGCTACATGGGGTGGTCCCCCAGGCCTGAACGATCACTCACACACGCACAGGATGTGTTTAATAAAGCTGACTTGGCTTTGAAAGAAAAACAAAACTTGAAAACCCAAGGAGGAAATGGGAAAGTACTGTTACATTAATGCATCTAACGTTATGAAACAAAATGTATGTACGTGGTTAAAAAGAAAATTAATTTGCCAACTTTGACATAACCGTAAGAGAAAAAGTGAGACTCTTAGAAAGGTCTCATTTCTCACCCAATTTCTCTTACTGTTAAAGACTTCATAACTGGGGTTCATTTTTAAAAACCAAGAAACCAACATTAGTGTGTTGTTATTAGGTGCCCTCGAGTACAACTCACAGCGACCCAGTGAACAGCAGCTCTGAATCCTGTTCTGTCCTGTGCCATCTTCACACTTCCTGACACACTGAAGCCCAGTGCAACAGTCACCGTTTCAGTCTACCTTGGTTGAGGGTCTTACTCTCCTTTGCTGATACTCCACCTTTCTGAGCATCATGTCCCTTTTCAAGGAATAGCAACATGCCCAAAGTATGTGAGGTTAAGCTTCTTCTTTGCCTCTAAAGAGCACCCCAACTGCACTATCTCCAAGACATAGTTGTTTGTTTTTTGACCATCCATGGGATGTTCAGTGCTCTTCTCCAACATCACAGTTCAAAGGCATTAATTATTCTTCTGTCATCCTTATTGATTTTCCAGCTCTCAGAAGCATATCAAGTAATCAGAAAGACCACGACTTGAATCAGACACACAACTGAAACTGACAATTTATTACTACTCAATAATTTGGAGAGGTCCCCAACTGCATTTTTTTCCAGTGCAATGCATCTCCTTATTTCCTAACTGCTGGTGCAGTATTACTGTTAACAAATTTGAGATTGGGTTTTAATTTTACTTATGTTAAAGAGTGCATGCACACGTGCACGTAGATTTATTAACATCATTGCATTCAAGTCAGAACCAACTCATAGCTGATCCTTCAGCTGTTAGAGGTAGTGAATTGCATAGGAGGAGATAGCACAGCTCCCTACTAAGTAGGCCACCAGAGTTCCATATGATTTTTGAGAATACGATATTATATATTGTGTTTAATGCTTAAAAAATTTTGTTTATTGTTGCCAAGAATATACATAGCAGTTCAACTTATTTCAGGAATACTTTTGTTGACAGCAATTACAGTAATTCTCTGTGTAACCATACACTTAAATCAGTAATTTTTCCATCACCATAAACTGAAACTGAGTTCATTACTTTATAAAACAATAATTAAGATGAAAGGTTAATTTGACTTTATTGAGATTCACAGTCTGTTTATTCAGAAAATTGATAAATATTTCATTTCCTTTATATTCAAAGGTGAATAATTGTCCCAAACTCTTGGAGGGAACATTTATTAAAAGATTTTGTTTGTTTCATTATGCCTCCTTGTTTCCTGTATCTAAAGCTTTACTCTTTCACTTAATTCCCTAGGGATCACTCAGTGTCAACGATAGAACCATACCTCAGCCTCCTATTCTTCAGCTCTCAGTGGAGAAGCTGAGCAGGGATGGCGCTTTCCTCATGGATGCAGGCTTTGTAAGTATTGTACCTGAAGCTGACCCTTGTCTCTGCTTATTGATTTTTAGCATGTGATCTCACTCAATATTTTTCCTCTCTGAACACGTAATACGAAGTACCCTATATATTTTGTATTTTGTTCTAAATTACCCTCTTTGTCCACAGCCTCTTTTCATGCTAAGCATAAAATGTCACTAAGCTTATTGATCTTTTAAAACATGCAGTGGTAAAGGTGAGTGAGTAGACTCTCAGTGTTAACAGTATTTCTAAGGAATTTTTCCTCTCCCTAGGTAATGATGCTTTGGGTTGGAAAAAATTGTGGACAAAGTTTCCTGAGCCAAGTTCTAGGAGTTCAAAACTATGCATCAATTCCACAGACTATGGTAAGATTATTTCACTCTAATGATTAAAAGTCGATTTAAAAGATATTTTAGAATTAACAAAATAATATCCTATTATTATATAAAAAGATAACCTCAAGGGAGCTCTGGTGGCCTAGTGGCAAGAAGCTACACTGCAATCCCAGAGGTACATGGTTTGAATCCACCAGATGCTTTGCTGGAGAAGGAGGGACAATCTGCTCCTGTACCAGTGAGATCCAATTTGACAGTACACACACAAAAAATAATAATTTTTTTTTAAAATTATAAAACAAAATATCTCAAGAGATTTAAAAAAAGGATTATTCTTATTCCAACTGAAAATATTACTTTAATATTGAATAGCATTCTTGAGGTTGCTTTGTATCTTTGACTTAGCTGGTGGTGGCATAGTATGTAGGGAGTTGTGCTGCTAGACCCAATGGGAGAGGCTCTCTGGCCCATGTGATTTGCCGTTTTAGAAACCCTCTAGGGGGGCGGGGGTCATTGCTGAGTCGGTTTTGACTCCACAGCAATGTGAGTGAGTGAACACATGAGTTCTTATGTAGAGAATATTAATAGTTATTGCTTCAGAGAGAAAAGAAATTAACTTAGTTAATGGGAAACAAGTGTGCCATAAATGGCCTTAATATAGCCTTTTGGTTTTGTGGGGTTTTTTTGGGGAAAGTGGCTTAGTTATCAGTACTGCTATAACAGAAACACTACAGGTCACTGGCTTTACAAACATAAATGTAGTCTCTCACAGTTGTTGTTTGCCAAAGTCAGAATCGACTCATTGCCAATCCTCCACCCAGTTTTCAGAAACAGTAAAACCAATGAAAGGAAATTGCCCATCTTTTTCTCTCAGAGAAGCTGGAGAATTAGAGCCATGGACCTTTGGATTGGCAGCATAGCTCCTTACCACTAGGCCACCAGCACACCACTCACGGTTTCTGAGGCTAGATGTCCAAATTCAACATGGCAGCTCTTGGGGAAGACCCTCACTTTGTGCTGATTCTAGCAGAAGTCTTTTTTTTTCCCCATTTTAGCTTCTACCTGTAGGTCCAGCATTCGTTAGATATCTATATATGTGCTAGCATCAGGTTTTTTTTCCTGGATCTAGGAGGGTCAAATACTGGAACCTTATGTCCAAAGGACAGGGTTGGCTCCTGACTTTTTTTCCTTGATGGTCTAGGGTTGTCTTAATATCTGCAACCTTATTTAATCTTTGATTGACTTAAAATACAATCTAATCTTGTAGTTTGCATCCTACCTTATTAATATTACTGCCAGTAATCCTGCCTTATCTTCAAGGTAGAGGTTAGGATTTACAACACATAGGATTATTACATCAGATCATGAAATGGAGGACATTACTGAGAATCATGGCCTGGTCAGGTTTACACATATTTTAAGTGGCCACTGTTCAGTCCTTAACAATAAATGATTATGCTGTCTTTTCATCAGGACTCCCTTTTTTTTCCTTCTTCTTAGTTAGGGGTTTTATTGGGTTTGATTTTTTTTATTTGTTTAGTTGGTTGGGTTTTGGATTTTTATTTTGTTTGGTTGTTTTGTATTTCATTTACAGGTCATATTAGTTTTTATTCATTCATTCATACACATTTTGTTTTATAACTAACTGCTGTTATTGTAATTAATTACAATGCCTAATCAACACTTAAGTGTTTTTATCCAGCTCATTTCTTTTATTAATTTTTTTACTCCCCTCTCCAATAATATTAGTCCTCCAAGACTGGTTCTCTTTGTAAGCCTTTCCTTAGTTTTTTTCTAATACTGTTCTAATACTATAATGTCCTTTCGTGACTGAATTATGTCACTCAATACAATTTGTTCTAGATTCATCTATATTGTGCAGTATTTATGAATTTTTTTTTCTTGTGTCTTAGTGGTGCATCAGACTCCATTGTGTACCATATTGTTCTTAGCCATTTGCCTGTTGATGAAAGCTGAAATTGTTTCCAATTCTTTTTGTCTTGGAGAGGATGCAGCCAGAGTGCTCTTTGGAATCAAGAATAATGAGGCTTTGCCTCAGATACTTTGGGCATATTGCTAGGAGGGTCTTATTTCTGTTGACTATTAGATTTCTAAGCCTGTAAATCTCTATATAGAGTAGACTCACAGAGCAGGTGATGGAGTCAAACCAGCAACTCTTTGATATTTATAGGTTTAATCCTACCCAAAGAAGTTACTAAGGTATTCATATAATTAAAAGAGGTATCAGGATTATAGATAGAATAAGTAGTAGACCACAGATCTTGAACAGAACTGTTGACTAAATGACTAAGTGTTTCAGGTAGTGACAATATGAAAATTGTCGTATTTGTAATAACCACATTGCTACTTCATTTTAGAAACTGTAAGTTAGAATTGACTGTGTAGTAGTGGGGTTTTGGTAAATCACACATAGACATATGATTAGAGTAAATTGAATATTACTGATTTTTCTTTACTAGACGGATCTTCCAGAACTTGATACACCAGAATCTGCCAGGATAATAACTTTCATCTCTTGGCTTAGAGAGCAGAGACCATTTTTTCCAATACTTTATATAATAAGGTAAGTTTAATTTTTTCATTCCCTAGTAGTGAAATTGTTGTGTCCTGTAAAGACCTGTTTTGAATCAAGATGTATATGTTATTTACTGCTTAAGCAAACTCTTTAGAAGAGAGAAAGAATTCTTCTTAATAAATAATAACTATATTTTGCTTTTTATCTAAGAACTAAAGTTCTGAAACTTTTCATTAACTTAATATTGAAAAGGTATTTTTCCCCCTGTAAACTCCCAACACAACATAAAGTTAACCTTTATCTACCACATATTCTCACAGAAAGCGTGTACAAGTGGCTGCTTGTAGGGTAAATAATATGTTCATCAGAATGTACCAGTAGCCATGTGACATTCTCTCTTCTTATTTTATTGCTACATTTTATCTAATGTATAAAATATCTTTATTTGTTCCTAAGGGATGAAAGTCCAATAAAGGCAATCTTTCTTCAAAATATGGTAGAAGATAGAACAGAATCTGCATTATCATACTATGAATTCCTCTTGCATATACAGCAGCAAGTGAATAAATGAGCAGATGAAGAAATTTGGCTTACAGAATGTGGAACACCTGAAAATGTGTAACATCTTCCTTTTTTTATTCAATTTTTGGACTAATGTGATGATTAACCCTTTTGTGACCTATACGACATACACTGTCCGCCTTCATTATCAGCCTCTCAGGTTTCTTGGAGAGTTACTATTTCAGCAGTAGTATGTACTGCCACCTGGCGGGGGCCTACGTAACTTCGTGAATCTGGAGAGAAATGAGTAATACTGGCTTCATCCCACCATTCCTGCCACCAGAGCCCATTTGGGAACTTAGGTATCCCATAATGGTATCAAAATTCATATTACCTCAAAAAAGTTTTTTTAATTCCTTGATTTCAGCATGCCTTCCTTTACTGAAAACATAAAGAATCAAAAAATTCAAGGCAAAGAATAATTTGGTCATGAAAGGGTTAAGATGTTCTCACTGTGATTTCAACTATAGCAAATAAGGACATGAGCAGAGAGTCAAACATGCACCTTTGAATACTGTATTTTTCAATTCAAAATTTATCTACATGATTGGATACCTTTTTTCCTTTGCTGCCAATTATTTTTGATTGTTATGAATCAATATATGTCAGAATTGAAGAGGCAAAGTACATTTTGTAAAATAAAAGACATCTGTTTTCAAAATGTATATTTGTCATTTTTTTCTGAATTTTTGGCTGCTACATTTAAAACCTCACAAGACTAAGTGTTGCAGGGAAGTTATAAATCTGTTGATAGTGATCTTTTTAAAATAAAAACTTTAGAAGGGAATAAAATGTAAAAAGAACATGTAGAATTCATCCATCATACCAATTTTCTTTTATTTTTAATTTTTAACTAAGGAAAAGATCGTGTTAACTAAAACTAGAGTAAACTAGCTCAAAATGAAGACTATGAATAAATTCAAGCTTTAAAATCTATCAGTATTCTCTATACTTGAAGAACAAAGTCACTTTGATTTGAAGTGAAAATTTTAAGTGGTTTTCTGATTTGCCTCAAATGCTTGGACATTCTGTCTTATTCTGCAGTGAAAAGAATCAGAGCTGTCTTCATAAATATATTGGCAGCGATGACAGGGAGATGGAAAACTAATTATCTTGATCCATTAAATAGGTTTTGTTTGGTACATTGCTGCCCTGTGATATATAGCAAAGTGTTATTTTGGTGAAAAGAAAATGAAAGAAATGGAAAAAGTTTCTTACATGCTATCTCTGATGTACTAGTAACATTTTTCTAAAGAGTTTAGTAATTAAATTGGAAGTCACTCATAAGATTTTTATTTCTGGATACAGAAACCTATAAAAGCTTGAATGCAGCTATTTGGTGGATAGATTTCTGAACATAATCAAGAGACTGTTTTTTTTATTCAACCTGAAGAAAATATTATAGTCAAAACTCTTATGCCAACTGTGTTTACACATAGGTAAATTATATATTTGTATATTTAAAGTGCTGTGATATGTCTTTAAGAGTTTGGTTCCGTTTTCACAGATTGTTTCTGTTTGTTTTAATGATTTAGAAATTCTGTTTACAATCTTGGTTTCATATTATCACCAATGAAAAGAAAAACTTTCAGGTTATATCAAAATGAGCTGACTTCAACTGAGTTTATTTTGGAATGAGGAAGAAGGCCTCACTACAGAATGTAACTACCGCTTGCCAGCTGGATCAGAATAATTATTTTCTAAAATTATCATCTCCCTTAAGCAGTGTTAAGGTTTGCTTTCAATGTGCAAGTTGTACATTGACCTGCACTTTTTCTTTAAAATTGTTTCATTTATTAGGAAGCAAATTTTAAATTGTAGCAAATAAAAATAAATTTCTATTTTCCCCTCATTTAAAGAAACTGAGAGTCACTATTATGCACTGATGTTTCTTAAAATAACAAATTTTCTTAATGTGAAATGTTGACGTTTGCAAGTCCTTTCTTTATAATAAAGGATCTTCCAGAAGGTAATGCTTGTGCTTCTAGGACAGTAATTTTCCATGTGCCTCACTGCATCCTTCTGTAGGTATGACTCTTGTTACACCACATGCTTTGTTAGCATATACCACAAATTTACTTTCATTTTTTTGCTTTAAAAATTATTTAAGATATTGTTTACCATGTGGAATCTAGAAGTTTATAATGGCTAAGTCATAAAAAATCCTTCACAATATTTTTGTCTTCATCTCCAGATAATGAAAATAAATGAACCTTTTGGGGATATTGATCTTAAGCAAATTATTTTTTGCAATATTGGATATGGGGTTTTTTTAGTTTAATTTGGGGAGGCAGTAGGGTACTACCTCCTGTCTCATCTTGAATTACTTTTTAATGTAAAACAACTGATATTTACAATATGCCATTTTTTTTATTATAATTGTAATTTATCATGAAAGATCCTTGAATTTTCTACATATCTACCACTACTAAAATAACAGACAAGGGCAATCTTGTTATTTAAATCTGAGCATGACAGTTCTACCATAAAATACTCTATTTTTCTAATTTCTAGGATTTTTTAAATAACATTTCTGTAAGTCTGACTTACTAATATCCATTCAAGCAGTACCATTTCTTTTAGTTTGCATATATATTCATTGTTTTTAATTTAATATAATGTATTGAGTCTAATAGACTGTTTTGCAATAATTAAATAAAGATTATTTCTTCTAATCAAAGATGTGTAACAGCTATTATCTAGGGGACCACCAAATGTGATTTTGTCAACTGTTAGAAATATAATCCTTATAGAAATTTTAATTTTGTAAAGTAGTGTATAATATTGTAACATTAAATTTTTGTTCTTAAATGGAAATGTATTATTCTATAATGTGTTGTATTAAAAATATCTTGCTTCTCTGAAATGTTAGAAACAAGATTTGTCCTCCTTTTTACAGTTTGTAATTTTCATTGTTTTATTCCTGTTTAAAAAGTCATTTGTAACCCATGCAAATAATCATTTGATCTGTGCTAATTTATCAATTTGGCTGTTCAATAAAGTAATTGAAAGAGATTCTATATGCCTAATTATTTAAAGTGATAGAAACAATTTCTCAGTCCCAGCTTTGTTGTGCACCCAAGACAGAAAATACCCGGAAGGCCATAATGTTTATATCTTAACTTAAGGATATCTAAGTTAAAAATTGTAGATTGGCAGGGGTTTTTTTTCCTTTACTATTTTAAAGATATTAATTCATTTTTTTCTGTGTCTTTTTGTTACTGGTCAGACATTAATTATTGTTAGTCTAATTGTTAATGATTGCTGGTATATTTTAATATTTTTATTTTATCCTTAATGCTCAATAGTTTTTCTACGCTGGGTTTTGTTGTTTATCTGCTTGTTATTCATTACACAGTTTAATTTACAGGTTGTTGACAGTCATCAGTTCTGGGAATTTTTTACCTATTTCTGTTCAAATATTTCCTTCTCTGCCTCCTCCTCTATTCTTTCCCCTCCATTATGTCTTGATTAGGATTTAGTCTTCCATGTTGAATACTGTATTTGTGTAACTACATTTTCGTTTAAAGCACAGTATGTGAGGATATCAGACTTTACATTTTGTGTAAAGTTTTTAACACTTTGTGAGGATATCAGAGGACTGGATTGTGCTTTATTCTAATCAGAACTGACTTGATGACGACACATAATAAGATGATGATTTTTGTACCAGTGTTTTGTTGGTTTTCCTTATTTTTGCCTGTTTTGTTCAATATTGTATTGAATTCTTTAATGTTTTATTGTGTTTTAGGAGAGAATTTATCTAATAAATTAGATCTTCATTTAACAATTTTTAATCTAAATTATTCTGTGCCATCATTAGTTGTATTTTTCACAATGTGTCCATATTCTCATAATTTCCATTCTGTTTGTTTGTTTCCATTACTCTACTTCTCTATTCCCTCTCACCATCTCATCTTTGCTGTAGAGTACATGTTGACCATTTGGTTTATTACTTACAGGATCACATTCCTCATGGGTGATATTCTTCATTATATAAGCCAGTCATTCTATCATTTGAATGAAAGGTCACCTCCACAGTGGCTTAACTTCCAAGTTCAAAGGACATCTTAGGGCAATAGGTTTGGGAATTCCTTTAGTCTGTATTAGCCTAGAAATTTTGGACTCTCTTAGAATTGTGTTAAACATTTTTCTGCCAATTCGATCCATGATCTACCTTCTGTTGTGTCCCTAGCCAGAATGCTGGTAGTGCTATCTGGGTACTACTAGTCCTTCTGGTCTCAAGCTAGAAGAGGCCATCCTGGAGATGGCTGTTCAGGGGAGCTCTGGTGGCATTTGCATACTTTGTAGCATGGTTGCTCTCTACTAACCCAAAAAGTTAAATGTTCCTGGTGGTTTGAACCAACCAGCAGCTCTTTGGAGTTTCCTCCAGTTAAAATTTACAGTTTCAGAAACCTTATGAAGGGACACTAGGTTGGAAAAGACTCAAAGGCAATGAGTTTGAGTTTTGGGTAACAGCCAGTCACAAGCTTTTGAAATCCAAGATGCTACTCACATAACCAGTATGCAAAACATTATGAGCTATGTCATGCAAATGGAACATAGCTACCTATATAATCACATACATTTTTGTTGTTTTACAGTTACTTCAAAATTGTATGACAGTATACCCAAACTGTCCTCTATTCTTGTGTACTACTTGCCTTCATTTATCTGGTTAAGGTGTGTAGGCTTTACCTATATTGGTGAAGTCTCATTTAAAAAAAATTATTCTCGGGGAGCTCTGGTGGCCTAGTGGCAAGAAGCTTCACTGCAATCCCAGAGGCGCACGGTTTGAATCCACCAGATGCTCTGCCAGGGAAGAAGGGACAATCTGTACCAGTCAGATCTGATTTGATGGTACACGCACACACACAAATAATAAAATTTAAAAAAAAATTATTCCCTAGAAAGTAGTTACTTCTCTCTCCCCTCTCTCTCCCTTCTCCCCCCTCTCCTCTCTCTCCCCTCTCTCCTCTCGCTTCTCTCTCTCTCTCTCTCCCTCTCCCC